TTATTTTATCTATTCTATTTTTTCCCATTTATTTGTTTATTATTCTTATTCTTGTTTTAATCATGGTTATTTAATTATTTGTCATTTTAATTAATTTTAGTTCCCTTTTTTGATCTTGTTCTCTTTTGTTTTACATTTTTTGTTTTCCTTTTACATTTTAATTATTATTTTTTAATTATTACTTTACATTTTCCACTGTTTTTACGTATTTTATTATTATTGTTTAATTTTTATACTTACTTTGAGTCATTTTTATTATTAAATTGACCTTTATTATTTGATGTTCTTGCACATTAAATAAATAAAGTTTGATTAATTGATTATATTTTTTACTTTTTTGCTTCCTGTATTGGTCCATTTAGATTTTTCCCCCATTCTAGACACGCCTCTCCCTCAGGTTTACATTCCATTTATATTTTCATAATTTAAAATCTTTTTGTTTTCTAATCCATTGTTGAAATGGAAAAGTTTTATTATAAAATTAGCATATTGCTATAAATAATATGATATCTGACATCAGAGAGTTTTTGTTATTTTCTAGGCGCATCTGTCCCCAAATTATATAATCTTAAAATAATAAATAAATTAAATAAAAAATAAAACCATAGAAAAGGTGGAAGTGCAGTTTCTGCATGTGCTGTATTGTAATATTAATGCTGTATTTTCACTATAATACTACATATTTTTTGTAATTCTGTTATAAAAATAAATGCAATAGAAATAAAAACATAGATTGGAAAGCAGCCAAAGTGACCTCAAGTGACCTTTCGTTGTTTCCCGCAGACGGAGAAGGCCGAGGAGAAGCCGTCCAGCGGAGAGACCACAGCTTAGGTACAGAACAACAACATCTTCAGCAAAAACAGGATGAAAACAGCAAAACATGAGCTCCTCCACAGCAGGACGTTACATCACTGCCCGCTCAGATAAACAGCGGGTTTAGATCGCTCTCGCGTAGCTGCACGCCTGGTCACTCAGGTTCTGCTTTAGAACAAACTGGCCCTTACGAGTCTCCGCAGAACCGCTTTATGTAACTCCAGGTGGAGAACAGAACACTTACTGAGTCATATGAGCGAATAGTGAGTGATCAGGTTCATATTTGGCCTTTAAAGCGGTAGTTTAATCAAATGAACCCCATTTTACCCCAAATGTAGTCAGTCAGCCGGCATGTTTGGTGTAAAGTTTGCTTCGTTTGTTTTAGTGCTGGAGCTATGAGGCTAATGTAGCTAACAAGTAATGAAAGCTTATAGCCCACCAATTAGCATGGCGCTAACAGCATGCCTAAATTATCAGACATTCGCCTTGAACAAGTTGGTGAGGTTGAATCCCTATTAAGTAGCTTCTTATTCAAATTTTCCACTCCACCTTAAATATTGCTGCAGTTACATTGTAATAGCTGCACCATTTAAGGTGGAACGGAAAATTAAAATATATTGTTAGCCAATTTCCATGTTTATAGGATAAGATTTTAAACTGAATAAGATTTTAAGGTTGGCCTTTAAAGCGGTAGTTCAAATCAAATTTATCTCTTTAACCCAAATGTAGTCAGTCAGCTGGCATGTTTGGTGTAAAGTTTGCTTCTTTCGTTTTAGCGCTGAAGCTACGAGGCTAATGCAGCTAACATGTAATGAAAGCTTATAGCCCACCAATTAGCATGGTGCTAACAGCATGCCTTAATCATCAGACACTCACCTCAAAGTTGTTGGCGTTCTGTTCACCAGCTTCCTATTCAGATTTTCCATTCCACCTTAAATGATGCTGTACATTGTACCTGCTGCACCACTTAAGGTGGAACAGGAAATTCAAGTGTATTTTTAGCCAGTTTCCATGTTTACAGATAACAGTGAGTCATACAGAGTCAGAAACCCCCTGATCAAGTCTGTTAGAGATGCATAACAGTCTGACGTGGCTTAACGTGAGCTAACGATGCTAATTGGCTGGTTAAACGCTTCCATTACCTGTTAGCAATATTAGCCTCGTAGCTCCAGCGCTAAAACTAAAGAAGAACACACCAAACATTCCTTCCTCTCTGTGGAGGATCTGAATGAGAAGAATCTTCTCTCTTTTTTTTTGCAGGTATTGCGTCCGTCTGGGGTTGCCATGACGATGGTGTAGTGTTACCTGTGAGCTCAGGTGTGGCGGGTTGCATAACCCCCCTCCCCCTCTCTTTTTCCATCCATCTCTCTCTCTCTCTCTTGCTCGCTTCCTTCGGCGCGCCCTTTGTCCTGCTTTTGCACTAGCCTCCTCACCTGTCACTCACAGCAGAAGGGGGCGTGGCCTGTGTGACACGTTTTAAACTACTGCAGGGGTATTTTAATGTATATTTATGTACAAACCAAAATAAATATGATCTAGATTCAATTATGATTGCGATGTTTTTTTTGTGGAAGGACTGGATATCGATGAGGGTTTCAGGTCATTAGTTTAAACAGTGTATTAGTAGATTAATTAGTCTGATGACTATTTGATTAATCAGCTAATCTGTGATGCAGCAAAACGAAGCCGTTTTTTAAAAGAGAGTTTTTCTGCAAAGTGTTAATGCGCAGTTACTTGATTAAACTCGTTGTAAAGTCTGACACCGTGACTCGTCAGGCCTTAATTGACTCGTTAGGACTGGTTAGGAATTGTCAGCTGATGGTGATTCCAGAGTGCAGTAAATTTCCTGACTCTTCAGAGAATTTATTACATTCGACAACCATGAGCTCCTCTAAGCCGCTGGTTTATCATCTGAAAACGAAGCTAACTGATGCCTACAAAGCAGGAGAAAGCTATAAAAATATATTATTAATAACAGTAAATTAATGCCGGTGGCAGCTCAAAGTGCTTTACAGACAGGGGATAAAGCTTAACAGTAATACAAGAAATAATAAGTAATAATTTTGAATCATATAAGAAATCAAATTAAAAGATGAAGTGTTTGGAATGACCATAGTCTCCTCGCTGCTCTGCATGTAAGAATATTGCAGAACTCGAAGCGCTGTGTAAGGAAAAGCTGGTGAAAATTCCTAAAATAAGAACAGAAAAACTCTAAGCTGGATACAAAAAGCATTTACAGGCTGTGATCTCTGCTAAAGGGGGCCGGCACTGACTTAGTAGGGTGTCCAAACTTTTGCACATACCACACTTACTATTACCTTTAAAGTTAATCAAGCAAAGTTTTTTTTTTATACAGTTTGCTGCATGTCGCTGCTGTCGGAACAAAACCTCGTATCTGTAAAATGGTAACTTTACAGGAAAAGGAAAAAACCTACTCTACTTTTAATGTAAGTCAATGGAACCAGACGTTTTTTCCACATCTTTTTGGGTCGTTTCTTTGAGTCCATTCATATGAAATATACACACAATGTAAAGGACAACAGGCATTTTCAAATTCTCACAAAAACTCAAAATCGACCAAAATGGAGATAGAAAGTTTTGTTCCAACAGCAGCAAAATGTTTTGTTTACTTCCTTTCACTTCAAAGATCAACAAATGATGTGATTTGGCCTGTAAAACTGTAAATGTGTTGCTTTTTGTGGCAAAACAGAGAAAACAGGCTGTTTTTGCAGCTAAGTTTCTGTGTATGGGCTGAGCTGTGTACTACGTCAAACTCTTATTTTGAAAAGGAGAGTAAAGGTCAGTTTTCTGTTTTCTGGTCCACAGTGTGGGCTTTTCTGAGTCTGAGTCGTGCTGAGTTTAGAGAAGCGCTTCCTGTGTCAGGAGCAGACGGAGGCCTCAGACGCTCTGAGGCTGCTTAGTCATGGAAAAAGCGGAGTGAACCAGTTCAGTCCAGAAATGGACGTCCTGAGCTCATGAGGTTGTTGCAAAACAGTCTCACATCAAGAGAGTGAGAGAGTGAGAGAGTGAGAGAGTCAGACTGCTATAGTGAAAACACCACCTGCTCCAGTACAGTCACACTGCTCTGACCGCCGAGCTGTGTGAACAACACAAGAGTAACACAAGCTTTTATCAAGCTGTTCACAGCAGATTTGCCTTTTAGGTGATTTAAACTGAAAGTAGTGTCGTTACTGAGAGAGGAGAATAAAAACACTAAAATATGGTGAGCAGCACTGCTGTGAGTCGCCTGTAAAGCCTGAAATCATCATTTAACGGTCAACACGAGTTTTTCACACCACGTCGTACGTCTTTACGTATTAACGTCACACACAGACTCTAAAAGAAGGTCTGGCTCGATGTTTCGGCCTCAGATGATCTCAGAATCAACATCACACTGATGAAGATGATGACGGTTCACTCAGATCCTCAGAGACGCTTCACCAAATTTAGACTGAGTTCTCTCTGAATTCATCCACTCAGGGCCGAAGCACAACCCATGTGCAGTTACACATTTCTACCATAGAGGTCTCCAAATCCCCAAAACTTACACAGTGTAGCTTTAAACTAGAGCTTGTTTAATAGCTGTAGCTGGAATATAAAACCTTATTTATTTATTGATTGATTACATTATAGGAAGAATCCCACAGAAAACCAGTCAATGCAATTTGACTTGTCAGTTAATCTAATCTTCACACGCTAAAAAAAGTACAAATGAAGTTTTAAGAGTTTAAAAATGTATTGAAATAGAAAAAAATAATATATATATAATACAGTATATATAATATATAATGCAATATATATGTATAATATATAAGTAATAATAATAATAATAATATGATAAAATATGGTGGGTTTTTCATTTTCATTTTATATGTTGCTATATTCATCCTGCTCAAAATTTATCAGCTATAATTCTAACTTTCTCTATGCCCAAATATACAGTATATACAGTTTATATAGTGTGCAAAAGTTTGGGCACCCCATATATTCCATTATATTTATTATTACCACTGCTACTATTTTTCAGGTGAATTTTGCAGTCCATACATGTAATGTACGAAGTGCTACAGAAAATAGTTATTTTTGGAATTCAGAGGTTTTTTTTAAATGACAATTTGTTTTACAGTACAATAACAGAAATAATGGAAATACGTTACCAACACACAAGAAAATTAAATACAAGTCAGTTACTGTTAACACTTATTTATTACAGTAATAACAAGTTCACACACAAGTAAATAGTGAAGAATGAATCACAGTGAAGGATTAAATGTTTGCGTTATTGGTTTTGAACACAGAGAACAAGTAAAACTGAGCAGTAAACAGATGGAGGTCAAGCTGGGCAAGATTCGGTCACTGTCCGCTGCGGTCGCTCTACTTTGCGGACATTTTGAGCAGACTCTGCTTGCCAATCTCAAACAGTCTCCAGCCCTCCTCATGCGAGAGGTCAGCAGCTCCGCGCCGCTTATAAAACTCGATGGACTGTTTGTTCCACTCGGCCACAATGAAGTGCATACTGCTGCAGCGACACTTCACCGCCATCTGCAGGAAAAACACAGAAAACAAAGATCCATAATGTTGATATGATCCACACAGTCACTCTGACAGACTGTAATACACTACAGGAAGTGTAGGGGGCGATATGGCTTCTACTGTTTCATTTAAAAAGCTCTATAATGTTCATATGATCCACACAGTCACTCTGACAGACTGTAATACACTACAGGAAGTGTAGGGGGCGATATGGCTTCTACTGTTTCATTTAAAAAGGTCTATAATGTTCATATGATCCACACAGTCACTCTGACAGACTGTAATACTTTAATATTTTTAATGTGGTCTCAGATTTTTGGGCTCCAGTGTATCTATACATATATACACATATATCTAGAAAGTAGGAACAAAAATGGTCTTTATTTCTCTGTATATGTGAAGCTGATGCTAATGCTAAGGTAAGGAAGGTGTAAAACTCACCTCACTGAGCCGCTTCAGGATTTCAGAGCCGATTCCATAACCTGAAACACCAAAACAGGAGAGTAAACTCAGATATACAGACAAACTCCAGCTGTACAGAGATTTATCAGTAATGTGATGGAGAGCGGGCCTTTCATTAAAGGCCACAGAAGAGGTTCTGATATGACAGCAGAGCGTGGATTACCTCTGAACTCCTTCATGACGTAGAAATCTTCCAGGTAGAGCAGCTTCCCGATCCAGGGGTCGTAGGTGAAGTAGTACATGGCAAAGCCAACCACTCTGTAACCTGCACACACCAAGAACAACACAGTTCACATACGGATACCAAGCACAGCCTGGGGTACATTTAGAAAAGAAATGCTACAACAATTACTAAATGTGTGCACATTAAACACAAACCAGGTTTAACTATTATTTACATTGCTATTTATTATTTATTTATTATTTACAGTCACAAATGTACGTGTAATATTATTTTCTTCATAATAAAGTCATTAATATGCAAACCAACTAAGAAAATCTTCACTTTTATTATGAAAAACAGTGTCTGACTCAGAATTAGTCAGGTAAAGAGAAATTGTTTCGGTTGTCCTTTGTTTGACCCCTGAGTTGGAAAGGGAAACTTAAGACACTTAAAGGAAAAGTTCACTAAAAATACCCCCTATCCACCCCCGCCCCCGCCCCCAAGCCCAACCATTATTAGCCCTCTAGCTGCAGTGCTAACATGCTAACACATAATGAAGCAAACTTCAGACACCAAAACATGTCTTGGCTGATCTGTATTTGGGCTGCGGAGGAAATTCTGTAAATCTGATTTTTTTGGTGGACTATCCCTTTGAGTGTGGGTTGAGTACAGTAGCTGTGTTACCCTCTGGGGTCTGTTTCTCCTCAGGTACTTCTGCCACCACGCAGTGGTAGAATGGATGCTCTCCGAAGCCGTCCTCCAGCAGCTCTGCAGCGACAAACAGAATCCGTCAGCCTGAGTTTCACTACAGCAACATTTCAGACTGAAAATCCAGTGTTTTAATGGATCTCAAGAGAAAGTGGATCAGAAAAGGGTCTCCGCTGTTTTGCTTTACTTCCAATTTTGAGGAATAGTCTTTTTTTCACCCTTACAAACCAAAACAGGGCAAATGGGCAGATATTTATTTATTTTTTATTTATTTCCAGGCACGTCAAACTGATTCCAAACAGCATGAAAAGATTCATCTGTCGTTTCATTAACGTCCACCCGTTTTCAGTCAAGCTGGAGTTCTGGAGCCGCAAACAGACACTGAGGCTGAGCTACCAGCCAATCAGAGCGGAGGAGGGGCCGGGCTTGTCTGAATACAGGCGGTGGAAAAAAATCTTGCCTGATTACGGGTAGGGAAGCACGATCTGGTCTGAATACGGGTGGAGTAGAACGCTTGTCTGAATACGGGTAGAAAAAAAGCTGAATACGGGTGGAGGGAAAAAGCTAACTGTTATCTCACCTTTCTCGGTCAGAACGACCTGTTCTTCCATTTCCTCAAACTTGGCGAGTTCCTGGAGGAAGGAAGGAAAGAAAGAAAGACATTGTTTAAGAAATCATTAGTTTTAAATACAACATTCTAAATTAAATAGAAGAATATTTTATAGTCGTCTTCTAAAGCAGTAATAATAAATAATAAGTACAGTAATAAACACCTTTATGAGTCGCAATATGTCTGTGTCGTCTATTAAAGCGGTTATAATGAGTAATAAGCACCTTTATGAGTCGCAGTATGTCTGTGTCGTCTATTAAAGCGGTTATAATGAACAATAAGTACAGTAATAAGCACCTTTATGAGTCGCAGTATTTCTGTGTCGTCTATTAAAGCAGTTATAATGAGTAATAAGCACCTTTATGAGTCGCAGTATGTCTGAGACGTCCTTTGGTTCTGCGTTCCGTAATATAAACTGCTCCATTTTCTCCTCTTGCTCTTCTTTCCTTTCCTCTTCAGTCCTCTGTAGGTGAACAGAAGCAGGATGTGTTTCTTCATTCGGCCCCTGGGTTCCCCCGGCAGCGAGCTGACTGACCAACGCGGACTAGCCCGGAATACATGCAGACTGCACTGACCCTGAGCCACGCGCACCCTGACGACTTTATACACCGTGCTCGGTGACGTCACATCGCAGCAGCCCCGCCCCGCCCCGCCCCGCCTCACGCTCCTTCCCAGTTGTCGCGTGCGTGCGTGACGCCATTTCCGGTGCCCAACTCGGTCCGTTTCCCAGTGAGTCACTCAGGTCCGGCTCAGTCCAGCTTACAGAGATTATTACGTCATCTTTCACTTTCAGATCCATAATGTGGGTCAGATCACAGCGGTCAGTACAGTTACAGTCCCAGACAGACGATCAGAGTGCGGCTTTGTGTTGTTGAGGTGTGAATAAGTTAACACACCCTCTACAGAGAACACACGCCTGCGCTTTAATACACACTCACTGTTTATTTAATGAGCTTAACACACTGGAGGGAAATAAAACAGACAATGTGGCCTGAAGGTCACGGCAAAAAAGAGAGGAAGGCTGTGGAGGGCAGAGCTTTCTGTCTATATATACATACATACATACATACATACATATATACGTATGTGTGTGTGTGTGTGTGTGTGTGTGTGTGTGTGTGTAAATATATATACTTACAAACACACACACACACACACACACATACACTGATCAGGCATAACATTATGACCACCTCCTTGTTTCTATGCTCATTGTCCATTTTATCAGCTGCACTTACTATATAGGTGCACTTTGTAGTTCTACAGTTACAGACTGTAGTCCATCTGTTTCTCTGATACTTTGTTAGCCCCCTTTTACCCTGTTCTTCAGTGGTCAGGACCCCCATGGACCCTCACAGAGCAGGTACTATTTGGGTGGTGGATTATTCTCAGCGCTGCAGTAACACTGACCTGGTGGTGGTGGTGTGTTAGTGTGTGTTGTTGTGTGTTGACCAAAAGAAACGTCCCAAAATTACTTGGATGAAAAATTACTGTCTATCTATCTATCTATCTATCGCTCTCTCTCTATGTGTCTATATGTATATATATATATATATATATAGACAAAACCTCATATCTCCATTTTTGCCGTATATCATTTTTTTGGCATAATTTGAAAAAGCCAGTTGCCCTTTATGATGTTTCAAAATTTTATGATGAAAAAAATAAAATTTAATAAAAAAATAAAATAAAATTTACTTGGAAATTACTTGGAAAAAATTATTTATTCATTTACTTACATTAAAAGTTAGGAACATAATTCCTTCTCCTGTAAAGTTCCTTTCTGGAGAAATGAGTTTTTATTCTGATAACAGCGATACACATACGTGTGTGTGTGTGTGTGTGTGTGTGTGTGTGTGTGTGTGTGTGTGTGTGTGTGTGTTTGTGAGTGTGTGTGTTTGTGAGTGTGTGTGTGTGTGTGTGTGTGTGTGTGTGTGTAGCAATGATCATCTTCCAGTGAAGCTCGTGTTCAGACGACTCTCAGGTGGATCAGGTCTGCTGATCAGAGGCTTTGGTCACTGTTCGTGATCAGTGTCAGCTCGAGTGCACGCGGTCATCATTAAAGCAAACAGGTGACAAACAAACATCTGAAATTCATTTTGAACCTTCAAAGATTCTACTGCTCACTCAGATTGTTACGCTGTACAATTCGTAATGAAACACTTATCCTCAGACTTGTGGACCCCACTGTGTTTATGGACGTTTGATCATTTGTTTGATATTCTTTTCTGTTGTTTTATCTGTGGGTTTTTAGAGCTGTGGGTTTAAGAAAAGCACATCAACAGTGGAGCTGAATGGAACAGAAAGGAACTTCTGTTTATATATAACAGTGTGACCTCACTTCCTGTGTTTCCTCAGCACGGACGCCCCTTAAAGTGTCTCGGCCTCCAGACTGACCGGGACCCTTGGAGTAGCAATCATAATCAAAAGGTTTCCGCAGAAACGGAACAAAGTGAGATGATTTCATGGCCTAAGAAGCTGTTTTGTGTTTACAAGCTGGACAGCAGCTGTGCTGTGTTGTAGCAGACAGGGTGCAGGAAGATAACAGGACATATTTAGAATATGATTATGGCTGTATGGCTGTAAATGTGTCTCAGTGTGTGCTGATGTTCTAGTATAGGCTAAAAATTTGTATAAACAAAAACTCAGACTTACTTTGCTCTGCTTTGAGCTTCAGCTCAGCTGTAGCTGCTTCTCTCGCATCTCTGGCAGGAAACTTTTCTGCAAAAGTAAAGTAATATCTTGTCAAATGTCTCAACATTCGACCTTTTATGAGGCTGAAGTCGCTTCTCATTCGCCAGCTTCTTGTTCGTTTTTTTCTGTTCCCCCTTAAATGGTGCCTGAGGCACCAAAGTGTAACTGCTGCACCATTTAAGGTGGAACGGGAGAATTCAAACAAGAGGCTTTACTGCAGCTTCAGTTTTGTCAGTTTCTCATTGCAGATTAAACGTATCAGGAAACCAGCTGGAGAGATTATAAACACAAATAAATCCATTCATCTCTAAATTATCAATGTTCATCTTAAATCTCTCTCTTTGTCGTTTCGTTAGCTACTATCTAGGCGAGACTGTTGTTGAGACTGTTGTCTGCTATGATGACCAGCAGTCTGGGCTGATCTTCAGGGTTAAAGGGTGAATTAGCAGTTCTACATTAACTCCAGAGTTTAAGACCATTTATTGTTAAACTGTGTTGAACGATCAGCAGAGCTTTATTTTACTGTAAAGGAGGATTAATTTAATTTTACCTACTAATCTGATTCTGCTGTGGAGCCGCAACAGGGCAGTAAAACAGCCGCATGCAGCTCCGGAGCCACATGTTGCTGACCCCTAGCCTAGGAGAATTTTTAATGACTCCAAAATGTCTGTTCATCATGAAGTTTTAGAGTGACAGCCAGAATATTAATCACAAAATATCTGTTTGGTCAAACTGGCACACTAAAACACTCCACTCTATACATCCACTCACAACAGACACAGATCAAAGGTACTGAGGTCCAGCAGAGCTGTCTCCTCTCTTAGATCAGCTGTATAGCCCTAAATATGTTAATAAACACACAGATTATAGATCAGCTCAGTCTCAGGAAGAGTGTGACTTTGATCTGTAGGCGTTTTTTTAATTAACTTACTGTAAACAACAACGTACAACAAATACGGAAAAGAAATACAAAAACAAAGAACATAAAGAGCTGTGAAGTGTTATTTCTGTCTCTCTCGCCCGTTCACACTCCCTCACTCTCACACTCTCTCACTCTCTCACTCTCTCACTCTCACACTCTCTCACTCTCACTCTCACACTTTCTCATACTCTCTCACTCTCACACTATCTCACTCTCTCACTCTCTTACACTCTCTCACTCTCTCACACTCTCTTACACTCTCTCACACTCACTCTCTCACTCTCTCACTCTCACACTCTCACTCTCACACTCTCTCACTCTCACACTCTCACTCTCACACTCTCTCACACTCACACTCTCACACTCTCACTCTCTCACTCTCACACTCTCACACTTACTCTCAAACTCTCTCACTCTCACTATGAAGAACTTTCTTCAAATTCTCAAACTAGTTGGATTATCTGATAGCAGATAACCTACGAAGTCTGTTATGATTGGCTTACAACTTATGAGGTCTGAAATGATTGGCTTACAACCTACGAGGTCTGATTTGATTGGCTAATAACTTATGGGATCTGACATGATTGGCTTACAACTTATGAGGTCTGATGCGATTGGCTAACAACTTATGGGATCGGACATTGCAACTTACAAGGTCTGATGCGATTGGCTTACAACTTATGAGGTCTGATGTGATTGGCTCACAACCTACGAAGTCTATTATGATTGGCTTACAATTTATGAGGTCTGATAAGATTGGCTTACAACTTACGAGGTCTGATTTGATTGGCTAATAACTTATGGGATCTGACATGATTGGCTTACAACTTACGAGGTCTGATATGATTGGCTAATGGCTTATATCTGTTGTGGGTGGGACTAAACTGCTGTAGGCTCAAGTTTACCACATCATATTTAAAATAATATTATTATTTTAAGAAATGTGATTTTTTTTGTTATACAGGCCCTTTAGGTCATCTTAGACAGCCTTTGTGGTGAGTGTAGATTCTGATGCTGTACAGCAGAGTGGATTTTGGAATTGGTCTGCAGACGATCTGAGCTCCTCCTGAGTGAAGTCACTTCATTAGTGCTGAACTTTATTCTGCTGACCTCAGCTGTAATCAGAGCTCAGCTCAGCCTGCAGGACTGAACCTGATTTACCCAGCATGCCTGCAGTGCCATGTCATCTAACATGCTGTACAGCAGTGAGAGACTCTGTTATCTCAGCACTTACTGGACGTTCTAGCTCAGTTTATCAGGTGATAAGCTGATAGCAGACGAGTGAACTGAACGGAGGCGCCAGCGTCCCGAACATGCTGTTATAAATAACGCTGCAAAACAGAACCAAACACTGTTCTTTAGATTAGAGAAGAACCACTAGAGTCCTAGATGAATGGATTTTCCAACTGGTATTAACTGGTATTCTACTGGAATTTCCACAAGGGAACCCTTCAGTGGATTATTCTTTGTGAAGTGCCCAGTGTGTAAAGAACCTTTATAAAGTTTAAAGAACCTCTGCATAATGTAAAGGGGGTTTAAGGCTCTGCCACCACAAACCCTTATTAATATTATAATTATTGTTATTATTATTAGTAGTCGTCATACTATAAACACAGTGTTAAATATTTGTGTTCGGTTAAATCAAGTAAATGTACATTTAATAGAAATGTTATTATTTTTCTTCTCACTCTGAGTGAGACTCCCCAGTGAATTTAACAGTTCTTTGTAGCGCTAGCGCCTCTATGTGATTTCCTGTGTTGTATTAGCATTAAGCTAACAGTGCAACTTGATACTACTAAATCTGACTCTACTGAAGCTGCTTTTGATTTAGCAGTTTAACAATGAATAATTCAGTAAATATGTCAGTTCATTTATTATTGGAGGAGCAGATTAGCCTGTTTAGGCTGGAGTCGAGCTGTTTACGCTGTCGTTTAGTCTTTTAGCCTAGTTGTTAGCAACG